AGAAACACAAAAGCGGGTATAGTTCAATGTTATCCAGATCTAAAATATTACGTTCCGTGAACTAAATACAAAAGTTTGAATCACAGAATCAATATGTAGATATTGCTCAATTCCCCGATTGCTCCATATCGGGTAAGTTTCAGTTGGTTAAGGTTTATAGCTGCGTCGATCAATCAGAAGCTATTCACATGAATATTGAATGTTCTTATAATATTTGAACAACAAAAAAATAAAAAAACGACGATATAAAGACCTTGAAATGTAGATCTTAAGAAATTCTAAAGTTCAACTCAATGAAAGAATCTTACACGTATTTCATGAAATACTTTTACATGAGCGATATTTTATATGCCAAAGTTTACAAAAGCATAAAATTTAATAAATACTATCATTCTAGAGATGTATTTTAAAACACGACTAAAATAAGTTGTTTATACTACTGAATTGAAAATAACAAATGCAAGTTAAAAAATTCGTAAAAGGTTTACAAGCATTAAAATGTGAACAAGAACTTAAATATCTCAAATAGGCTATTTGTTGAATTCGCACAGAGCTACTCGAGAGGTATCTGTACTTATTTGGCAGTGACAGGCTAGTGGGAATGCAGCCAGTCAACAACACCCACCACCAACTTTGGAGCTTCTAATTACCAACGAATTGTGGGGTGTCCGTCACGTTATAACACTCCCACGACTGTATGTTCAGTGACAAGTTTCAATCCCGCGACCCACTGCTTGGGAGTCGAGCGCCCTAATCACCAGCCCTGCACAAATAATTAGTGACATTACACAATATTTCTGTCACAAATCAGTAGCTCGATTTGGTAATTATATTAGTTTATCTAATATATATTTAAAGCACATAAACTTTAGTAACTAATGGAAAAACTGTGAAGATTAAAAATAAATTTCAACCATCTCTTACCTTTTAGTTCAGATCGGGTGAAGGAATGGGTTTCCATCCTCTAATGACTATTGGAGGGTCATAACTGTCAGTCATTAGAGAATGGAAACATTGGAGGGTCATAACTCGCCAGTCATTAGAGGATGGAAACATTGGAGGGCCATAACTTGTCAGTCATTAGAGGATGGAAACATTGGAGGGTCATAACTTGTCACTTATATAGTTTACTGGATTTCCATTTAAGAATTTTTTTCATTGCATAAACTCCATATTTAACAGTGTTTTACCGATAATCAGTTCGGCAATCGGAATCGGTAGAATTTGTCGGAATTCCCGATTACGAAAAACCGATTGCCGATAAATTAAAAATAACACCACCCAGACCACTTTATTCATAACAACAATCTTCTGGTATGTAAGTATGCTTAACAATCACGACCCTGTACATTTTCCATTTTCTTTCGACAAAAAAATACGAAACATTATTCACAATAGAATAAAATATCATTAGTTAAAACAATCTCAGTCTGTTTCTCATTTATTTCCATAAGTTGATACACTGAACGAAAGCACATTATGAAGCACACCAATTTCTATACCGACCGTACATTAGCAAACGTTCGATAATAGCACCCTATACACACCGTGTGCTTGCCGGATATCTACGCGGACTTTTCCCTCAGTTCACCCGTTCTTAGGAGTAAACATATTTTTCTATCTTTTTACAATGTCTGTCTTGCAGCACTATTCTTTTCTCAAGTTCACACCAAGAGAAAAACATTTAACTCTTATTATTATTGTACCTTCCAAAAGTGGAACGACCTACAATTTATTTTTGGAGAGGTTGATTTGGGGCGTGACTTGTTTCTCATCACAACAAAGCCACGTACGATATAGTATACAGCTTACCCTGTAACACACAATTCGTGTACAAATTGAAGTTAGATATGAACCCTCTGTGCACGACGAACATTCGCGCCACGTGCACACTGATTTATGCATTACGGTACATACACCTCAGTATACACCATGTGCATGTGACATACATTACATTACACGGAGGCCTCAGAATCGTGCTTGATTACAAACGAAACTTTCAAATGTTGGTTGGAATACTTCATTTGGTTTAGAAAGTAGTTTAGTTCAAAATGTGTAGAGTGATGATAGCAAAGGTCTTCGACCTTATGGCTGAAGTGAATGATGAATTTAGGCAACAGTCACATAACTTTATGTATCCCTCATATAATAGCCACAAGGTCAGTCCCCATTTTTATTTTTCACTCGTTCAAATAAATAACGGAAAATATATATATATTTTTTTGCACGGCACATTTATTGATAACTTCAACCATTTCAAATTTAATGAAGCTTCAAAGTACATTCTCTGTAGAAAAATGAAGGTGTCTATTAAACGCTATTTATATATGCGGTATAATTCTTTAAACGCCAAAAGCTGGCAAAATATTGAAATCCCAAGAGACCTAAAGGTTGTTATAAAAACAGGTCTATCCGGCCGCTAGTTTACCGGCCCTCGTGCTCGTTATTAATCTCTTGTTAAATATTACTGTTTTACCGATCATGTCACAATCGGTCCGATTATGTACAGTAAAGTTGATGATGTCATTGTGTAGCATTGTTGACAGTTTAACCTTATGAATTGTAATGATTTTTTTGTTTTTGTTTTTTTAACTCTTAACTTGTCCAATTCGGTTCCAAATAAAGGGTATGTAAAAATAGGACTTCAGATCTATCCCCCACAAGCCACTGCCCAATAAGATTGTACTTTAATACCAGTATTCATCTGTTGAGCTGGACGATGCCATTATTTTATAGCAGTTTATAATGTTACCATTTTTTTTCAAACAAGTGTATGTCTATTATGTTTTGATTATTGTAATTATGGTTATATCTATGCTTTGATTATTGTTCTAATGTTTGTTAGGTTGTAGTTGTGGTTATGTTTATTATGCTTTGATTATTGTTCTAATGTTTGTTAGGTTGTAGTTGTGGTTATGTTTATCATGCTTTGATTATTGTTC